AGTTGCCTCTTGAAAAAAGCACCTTTGGGACAACCAGGACCTGGATGGTGGAGAATCTCCATGGACAATTAGAAAGAGAGAAGGTATTTTTGCAGTGAGAGATCTAATCCTAGCAGCTGACCCCAAAGCCAAGCCAGTAATACTTTTAAGTACTGAAGATGATCCCTTTCTGGAAATGTCATTGACCGGCGGGTGGACAGAAGAACGTAGAATTTCAGATTCACCCAGTGTTTCTTCAGCAACTTGGTTGGACTTCAACTCCCCAGAATTCCCTGGCCAGTTGAAGCCCACGCATCTTAAAATTGCTCAGGTGGAGAAACACTGACCTACTGGGATACTTGCAGGTGTCTCTGTGGACATTTGAAATAAATAAATAAAAAAAGATTTGGAATTTAGGAGGGGATAAAGAGCTCACCTTAGATCAGGGGTCTCCAACCGTGGCCACTTGAAGGCTTGTGGATTTCAACTCCCAGAATTCTTCAGCCAGTTTGCTTCAAGTCTTCAAGTGGCCAAGGTTGGAGACCCCCTGCCTTAGAGACCTTTTTGCAAGTTGTGTATGAAGTTTCCCCGTAGCTTATTTCCTTTCAGGTATTTGGGCTCTCCCCACCTAGTTTTATTTCCTCGCTCAGTTAATCTGAATGGTCCTACTTTGCAAATAATTTATGTTCTTCTCTGTTATAGGTGAAGACTGGTTGGATAACACTACTGCAAGCTGGATCTCTCGTCCTACCTGTGTCCCTATGAGGTATATTTTATATATCTTTTCTAATCTAGAAAAGATTCTGGACAGGCCTGTTCATCTGAAAACCCTTTCTGGAAGTCTGTCTCTGTTCTTCCAGATTTCTCCTGCTTGGGAGTTGTCTTCTGAATAGGATGAGCCTCTCTCTCTCTCTCTGTTAAACTTTAGTTGGGATTGTCTTGCATTTTCCTTCATTGGACAAATATTCCTTATTTCTTCCCACCCAAGAGGCTAATATCTTTTTATTACTGGTCCCAGCTCCTGTGCCCTTAATAGCAAGCACGAACCGATGAACATACATATTTCCTTGCCCTTTAAAGACACCATCATTTGGCAACCGTTCCTCAGTTTCATGCTGTCTTAGACGTAGCTCTTCCTTTCTTTTGCTTTCTTTCTGCTTTTTCTCAAAGCTCTCTCTGCACATAATGTTCCATTCAAGGTATTTTATAGGAGCAGAGGTGCCCACAATGTCAGGACAGCTGGCTGGGGAATTCTGGGAATTGAAGTCTACAGGTCTTTGTAGCCAATGTTGGAAACACCTGCCATAATACATTCTGGCTGGGGGGAATTCTAGAGATTGAAGTCCATGGTCTTAAAGCGGCCAAGGTTGGACATCCCTGCCCAAGATAATTTATTCCTTTCATTGACTTTCTTCATCCCTCTTGACTATATCAGTCAATGTATTCAGTCCTGATTTGATTGTTTCTAATTTACTGACTTAAGTCACTATTGGGTGGGTTTGCATATCAACCTAAGCCAGAAGCCTTTCATTCACCAGTCACAACATCTAGGCTTGTACAATGTTGTCAGCCAAATCCCAACAAGCACATGGTTTTTAATGTTCTGCCCCAATTGGAAAACCACCAATTTTGTCCATGGAGCGAACCGCTGATGATTGAGGCATGACTCTTAAACATCTGCACGAAGCGGGTGGAGGAAAAAATGGATTATTTTTTTGAATGTATACGGGCTCCCATCTCAAGCACAGGACACTACGAGACTACGGTGGCTGACAATGTTTAAAAAGAGCATAACCACAACACAGCAGAATCACAAATGGCATAAATAAGTAACAGCACATCCTCAACAGTTCATCAGCCAAACGATGGACCCACCTACACTATCAAGATCCCCATCAGGCTTGATTACAAAACCAGGTCTTTAGGTTGGTTAATTTCATTGCTCCAAACCCACGTATCTTGTCTCCCTTTAAAGACGAAGTCACAACTTCAGGACTGAAATGAATTGAATACGTTGGCATACACCATAATCCATCGGAAGCTTCATCAGCCTATAAGGTCCCAGAAGAAGACCCTTGGTTTCACGTAGATGTGCTGTAGCCCTCCCAGGAACTGGAGGAGAAAGTCAAGGGGGAGAATGGGACATAAAACCCATTCGCTTTTACGAAATGAATGTCACAAGTGGACCTCTTCTCCGAAGTTTGTGAAGGAGATAGTTAAATATAAATGGTCTAGGATCCCCTAGAAGACCTCCAATGGCCTTTCCCAACCCTTCTCTTCTACGTTCTAAATAGTTGGAGATTCCTATCTTTTGATAAAAGGTTGGTTGAGGTTTGCCTTTCATCTCTGCAGTGGTTCTTCGCTCAACTCCAGCACTGGGCAGTTTGGATGGGGGCCGAGAAACCAAGCCAGAGGTAGCCTGTGTGCTACCTTCTCAAGGTTCAGTTCTTCCCCACCCATTGTGGGCCTTTTGGTAACCCTTACCTGCTCAGTTTGTGGGCAGCTGCGAAAGTGATAGTGCGGGATAGGAAAATAATCTTGTCCTCCATCTTCCTTTCAGGAGCTCAGCTGACAGGAGAAACTCTGCCCTGGGGCCGGTTAAATAAGCCCACCAACCCTCATGTGACCAAGATCTGACTGCAAAAAGAACTGGTCTTAAGGTGCGTGATCTCTGGTGATGCCTTCCCCGCCTCCGGCAGTTAATTCAGCATATCTCCTGGTCTCCAAACGCTGGGCGAGAGACAACTTTTATCTTAAATTTGGGAATTAGCTAAGGTTCGCCAAGGGCAAGGCGAGTTGGCTCAATTCCTGCTGCATGCCAACCCTCTCGTTCAACGCGAAGTGTTTTAAGAAGCCCTGCTTGACTCATCTTTGGGCTGAAATGTTTGAAAAAGGAGACAGCGTTCGGGTTTTCTGCACATAGTCAAGGGCTTCCTTCTCAGGATAGGATCATGCGCCTTGGTGCTGTCGGAGCATTCTGCGTGCCCAAAGAAGAGGTTTATTACGCTAGCAACGCCAACAGACGAATATGAATGATTAGATGGGGCGCTACAAGAAGTTGTTTATTCCTGATGGGCCTTCATTGCTTTGTATGGAAAGATAAAATCAACTTTACATTCGACCACTGTATCTGCATTTATTTTCTGTAGCCAGGAAAAGGTTAGGGCATGCAACATTCTTCACAGCGTTTTGTAGTTTCCTAGGCAACCAGAACATAAGAAAACCAAGCGAGTGTTCCTTTTCAAACTTGGAGGAAGGAAAAATACTCTTCGATATTTCTCACTCGGATGAATAGTTCGTCCATATCTCAGGCACCCAGTTATTGGCCTTGGAAAAAATCCCGCTCCATAATCTCTTCTGAGAAAGCTTCATATCGCGAGGAATGCTAGGCACCACCAACCGAAGGAGATTCATGGAGGAACTTAGTTAGCTCATAGAGACTGCCCAGTTACCTAGATCTGAGCTAGTTTTGAATTGGAAAAAACAATCTCCCTCAGTCTAAGGATCTCTTGTGGCCTTGTTAGCAAAACGGTCTACTCTAGAAGAAGTGACAGGGAGTATCCTTTAAATCTGAAAGCCACAAATAGCAATAACAATAGCACTTAGACTTATATACCATTCCATAATGCTTTACAGCACTCTCTGAGACGTTTACAGAGTCTGCCTATTGCCCCCAACAATCTTACCAAACTCGGAAGGATGGAAACTTTTGTCAACTTTGACCGGTCAGGATCGAACTCCTGGCAATGGGCAGAGTTACCTTGCAATACTGCATTCTAGCCACTGAGCCACCACGGCTGGAAGAGAACTGGACCAGTCCTACCATTGGGCAGTTTCCTCAAGCAACAGATTGGGCACACCAAGGTACTGGAGATGGAAATAATAAACCTTGGAAGTTTCATTTTTTGCCTACGGTGACAAGTTATCGGTCAAATAAAAAAAAAAAACTGGCGAGGTTCATTCTGTCTGTGCTGAAGCTCTGGATCATTGTTGGCCAGACAAGAACATGTGGATAGTCTACAACAGGGTCGAGCATAATCTTGGTGGCTTGTTTTCGAGGCCTCCCCGAACAAGTCTTCTAAATATTTCCTCCTCCTCCGTCTTCCTCTTTCTCTCAGTCTCATGCCTATTTTGGTGTTCGTTGTGCACAAGATGCTCTCAAGTCCCAGTCGCTCGAACCCAAGTCCCTCGATTTCCAGCCTCATGACCAACCTGAAAGCGCAACCACACATCAGCTGTTTTCTTTAGAAAGGACAACCTCAGCCACCCCTTCTGTTGAAAAAAGTAGGTAGTCAGACAGGTATTTTCATGCTCACGGCATAAAAGGATCACTTGGTGGAAAGTCTACTGGGTCATCCGAGGGGCAATACCCCCCCCCCCCAGTTTTCATGAAATTCATCTCCTTTTATTGGGGTTGGCCTTGCGAAGATCTTTGGGTCCGGAGAAGACAAGAACCTCTCATTCAGGACCGCGTCCATTGGACAAAACGATACGCCCCAGGCTTGGAGGAGCGGACGGGAAAACAGAAGGAGCCAGCAGGGACGTCCAAGGGAACTGCTGTAATTAAAGAAAATAATATGCCCAGTTTTGCTTTTACTTGGGATCTTCTTCTAAACTTCATGCTCTAGAGAGAAAAACAGTGAAATTATGACTTTGGGATTTGCTGATTAGTTGGTTGTCACGGAGATGGCTACTCTATAGCAAGTGTGCACAAGTAAAAAGTCAAGGTGATAATTGGACCGCCTTCATTCTGCTGCGCTGAAAAGAGTTGGAAGTTAATGCTCTCTTTTCTCCTTCCCTTCTTTCCCCTGTTTCCCTTGTATCTTCATTTTCATTTTTTATTTCATTCTTGGCGTTCTGACGTGGCAGGGCTGCGTGGTCCCCGTTAGTGATATGCCAACAAGAGTCACTATGTGAGTCACTACTCAGAGCAGATTCTCCTCGGGGACAGGACTGAAATATAAGTTGTGGGTGGGTGGGCTTTTGGGAACACATCCTGGGAACCACCCCACCAGCTTGGAATACTTTGAGAGAAGGGAGCAATGTGGCGACCAGCCCTTTCGGCCCTGTCCCCTCCCTCTTTTCCATCTGCATTGCAAGCAAGAAGCAGGTGGCTCTTGAAAATTTCAGGAAGGATCTCTTTGGGCTTGGAGGCGCACCTGGAGGCCCATCAAGACAATCAAGCTCACAACAAAAGGCTTATCTTTTGTGCTGTTATCAGCTGGGTGCTTCCAGTTGGGGAGTTCCTCACCACGTCGTCATCTCAAGCCAGTTTTCTGAGGAGAGGAATTCACGATGGTAAGCAATGATAACTGTCGTCGACATCCACTGGAGGACTAGAATTTGAGAAAAGTTCCAGGTAGAAGATAAACAATTTAATTTTGTCAGGTGCTCACATTCACCTCTCCTTTCCCTCCCCACCCCTCAAAGAAAAATGATTTTTTATCAAGTCGCTGAAGGGGAATGGGAGATAAATGACACGGACATGTTTGCACTTTTAAAGAACATGCTGTACCGAGAAAGCTTGATAATAAAGCAAGCAGGGCTGGAACTGGAAAAGGCAGTCTGTGGTATAATTGGGACTGATGCTGTCTGCAAATGGCCAGGAACCGGTTGTTGGTTCTTCTTTGGCCAGTGAAAGTAGACTCTTACAAAATAATAATTGATTTATTCCAGGGACTATGCAGAAGAATTTCATTCTGGTTGTTTTTTTCCATGCCCTTGTTACAGTCTTGAACGTTACTTATTAATCACATTTATATGGCTGCCCACCACAGAAAGTGATTTGCAACACAAGCGGTGTCATGAGGGCCCAAGGACGTGGTGGAGGATTGTGGAGTATTGGGCAGCCAGGTGGATGATAAAAAAGCCTCTTTAACGTTAGCCAGAGACCCCTTCATGAAGACACAAGATTAAAAAAAATAGAAAGATGGATAGGGAATTCTGTCTGGGTTTAGGAGAGCTCACCATGGGGCCATTCACCATGGGATGAGAGTGACACTGATATCGAAGAAATGACGGAATAGAATCATTAAAGAAAGGATGCAGAAGGAAGGACACAATGAAACGTGAATGACAAAAAAATCAAAATGACTTTTTGATTATTTGAAGTAATTCAATTGAATTTTGAATTGTCCCGCAGTGAGTTTGTTGTGGCGAGTTGCCCAGTCCATTCTGCCTTTCCGGCCAAGGGAAGCCACATGCTTGAAAAAGCAGAAGAACCTGTTGGGCTAATGGAGAAAGAAGGGAATGTTGAGCAACCAGACTGGTCTCACTCCCGAGTCCTGGAGAAACTCCCGGATGAAGGCGTCTAGGACCCCTGTTCCAACCATTAGAGACAACGGTCTTCTTCAATTCCAAGTTGAAGTTAAAACTAAAGGCCCCGTTTGCTCAAACACCTGGAAACAAAACCCCCCAAAAACTCTCATTGATTAAAGGTTATACAGAATCTACAGTCACTTCATGGACACACACCCAGAATCCACTCAGGGGAAACCTACTAGACCAGAGGTCTCCAAAGTTGGCAACTTTAAGACTTGTGGACTTCAACTTGTGGACTTGAAGTTGAAGTCCACAAGTCTTAAAATTGCCAACTTTGGGGACCCCTGGACTAGACGTTTGAGCTAGGCTGGAAGCCAACTCTGAGAATCCCCATTTCTGAACCTTGCTCCTTCCCAGCTTGGGAGCGTGTTGCAACTCGGCTGAATCCCAGTGATGATGTGTGTTTCTTGGGGTAGGAGTGATTGCTGGTGAAGAAAGAAAGAGAGAGAGAGAGAGAGAGAGAGAGAGAGAGAGAGAGAGAGAGAGAGAGATCTTCATGATGGGAGGATGAGGGTGGAGGAAGGGTTTGAAGCCACGTTTGAGCAACTCGGGAGAGGGAATTGAGCAAGGAGGAGAAACAGCAGAGGAAGAGGATTAGCAGCTGGCAATCCTGGGATCTAGCCAGTCTAGGAGCTGTGGGCTTGTGTGTTAGTGTTGACCTAGATTTTGCAATACGGCTTCTTCTTCGCTATTTACCTTTCTGGTCACACTCTCCATTGTGAGAAAGAGGCCGAACCTCTGGAGGGAAACTCGTTCATTCATTTTGCTCCTTTGGCTCGAGGGGGGTGGGGGGGGGGGGGGAATCCCTGCCACTCCATGCCTGAAATCGAGCAGCTTCCTGTGGTTTAGAAAGCAAGTAATGAACCCCGCTTCTCATTCCCATCTGGCAGCAGTGAACTCTACATTAGCACAAACCAGCAGTGTTGGGGATGAGTCTTGGTTGAAGGCGCACACTGCAGATTGAGGGGCATGGCTATTTTCGCCCTCACCCACCCCTGCCTACCAGGAGGTAGCTTTGCAGGAGGCATCTCTGCAAAGGCAGAACTACAAGGAGCAGTCGGGGGAAAAAAACTGGGAGCAATCCCTGGGTATCTTGGCATGTTGACAGGTCCCCTCTAGAGCGGACTTTGGACACAGGAAAGGATGGAGGCAGGGGTGGGATTCTACCAGTTCGCACCTATTCGCTAGAACCGGTTGTTAACATTCTAAGCAGTTTGGAGAACCGGTT